CAGTCAACACAGGTCCTCCTTTGTACCCTGATCCTATAAGCCAACCAGGAGAGAGCAGAGTTTCTCTCCCATAACAGACAATACCTACCCAACACCCTGCTCTATTGTCTGTCTCATACTTCACCATCACACTGAGAACAGGACAGGTCATACTTCACCATCACACTGAGAACAGGCAGGTCATACTTCACCATCACACTGAGAACAGGACAGGTCATACTTCACCATCACACTGAGAACAGGACAGGTCACACTTCACCATCACACTGTGAACAGGACAGGTCACACTTCACCAATAAAACACTGAGAACAGGACAGGTCACCTCTCTGCCTAGGACACTACTCCAACCGTACAGGATTTTCGTTTGTTTTGGGACATTGTGAAGGGGACATGGACTCATCTCCAACTTAGACCATTTCTGAGGTCTGAAAACATCTGAGAAAAGTAGATTTTGGGAGCCAACTATCACTGTAAGGTTTCTTTGTCAGGAGGACTGATAATTAGTTTGGACCCTGATAATTAGTTTGGACCCTGACAGCGGACGACGTGATGGCCCAGGGCGTGTCTGAGATGGCGGCGCTGTGCGTGGGTCTGGTGGGTCTGATGGGGGCGGCCGCCGTCACCGGGATGCCCATGTGGAAGGTGACAGCCTTCATCGGAGAGAACATCATCGTCATGGAGACGCGCTGGGAGGGTCTGTGGATGAACTGCTACAGACAGGCCAACATCAGGATGCAGTGCAAGGTGTACGACTCTCTGCTGTTCCTCCCTCCAGACCTGCAGGTATGATTACTTTATGACTGCGTCCCAAAATGGCACCCTCTTCCCTATATAGTGCCAGTGTCACCCTCTTGGCCCCGGCCATTAGTAATACAGGGAATAGGGTGCCATTTGGGATGAACACTATGAAATCATGTCAATCATGAACACATTTGAACCCTATTTTGGTAAATGTTACTTTATGTATTGTAGCAAATATGGGCGGTAGCTCCTTCCAGGACTCAAACCCGGGTCCAGCAACTATCAACCTTAGCCGTTCCACCAAGAGACCCGAACCTCTTGAAAAGGTCGCCTCCCGAGTGGCGCAGTGGTCTAAGGTGCTGCATCGCAGTGCTAGCTGTGCCACTAGAGATCCTGGTTCGAATCCAGGCTCTGTCGTAGCCGGCCGCGACCGGGAGACCCATGGGGCGGCGCACAATTGGCCCAGCGTCGTCTAGGGTAGGGGAGGGAATGGCCGGCAGGGATGTAGCTCAGTTGGTAGAGCATGGTTGTGGGTTCGATTCCCACGGGGGGGTATGAAAAAAACACACAAAAAAACAATTTTTATTTTTTTTAATAGAAAATGTACGCACTCACTGTAAGTTGCTCTGGATAAGAGCGTCTGCTAAATGACTAAAATGTAAATGTAATGATGGGTTAATGTGCTACAGTATGTATTGGTCTTCTCTTCCACAGGCTGCCAGGGGCTTGATGTGCTGCTCTCTGGCCCTTTCAGGGCTGGGTCTGCTGGGGGCTCTTGCAGGGATGCGCTGTACCTCCTGCATCCAGGACAACGACCGCGCTAAGACCCTCATCCTCAGGGTGGCGGGAGGCATGCAGTTACTGGCCTCTATCTGTGTGTTCACCCCAGTCTCCTGGATGGCTCACACCATAATCCGTGACTTCTACAACCCCCTGCTGATCGACGCCCAGCGCAGGGAGCTGGGGGAGGCTCTCTACATCGGCTGGGTGACCGGAGCCGTCCTCTTCACCTCGGGGCTTCTTTTCCTCTGTCGCCGCGTCCCCTCCGCCTCGTTCGATATCTACCACCCAGCCAACAGGATCAACAAACCCACCCTGATGCGGTACCATCCCATCTCCAGTGTCCCTAGCATGAGGGCTAACCACCAGCCCGGTCTGAACCACCAACAAAGTTACGGCTTCGATGCATACCAACACCACCAAGCTCCAATTCTTCATAACTCGCCTCATGGACAACATGTCATGGACCCTTCTGCTGCCGTGGATGACCCTAGCTTGGTGGAGAACGTTGGGCCGTTGGTCTATCATCATGGCAGCGCTGACGGACACCATCCCTCCACCTCTAACAGCTCCAACTACGTCAGCAGCCTGTCCACTCCGGGTAACTCCCTATACATCAGTCAACAGACCAATCCATACTCCTACAGTCAACAGACCAATCCATACTCCATCAGTCAACAGACCAATCCATACTCCATCAGTCAACAGACCAATCCATACTCCATCAGTCAACAGACCAATCCATACTCCATCAGTCAACAGACCAATCCATACTCCATCAGTCAACAGACCAATCCATACTCCTACAGTCAACAGACCAATCCATACTCCTACAGTCATCCGGGAAGCCTGTCTGCTTCATACAACTCCAGTTTCCAAGCCGTACCTCAGAATCCTGTTTTCATCGGGTATAAGGGCTCCAGAGTTCAACCACTGCAGTCTCACCACAGTGGAAGCAGTGTTGGTGTGTACATCTGAATAGACTGCAAAGAGACCAGTCATCTTCTGATACTCACTTCACCTTAACCAATGCATTTCCTGTATATGGTTATTAGAATCACATAGTATCTTTTTTTTTTTTTTTTTTTTTTTTTTTTTGAAAAGTTAAATGTCTGTTTTGGTATTCTGGTAAAACTGTAATGTGTTCAGTGTATGAGACAGTTATAGCTGTGTAGAATCTGTTCTACGTTTTTGTTCTGTTACGTGATTATTCATGTACCATTTGGGTGTGTTTGTCTCCCACTGGTTTGATATAAGCAGCTTTCCTTTTGTCGCCTTAACCTTACTTGTCATGTGACCTCAGTAAATAGGAAGTTTGGTTTCTCCAATAAAGAACATCATGATTCTGCATACTGGAGAGCCACTTCAGTACGAAGTGATTTTCCTAGCAGGTTAGGAGAGCATTTTCGCTAACCCTTTTCATAAACTTAACCTCAGACTCCTAAACCTGCTGCGTTTATTCTCCTAACCTGCTGTGTTTATTCTCCTAACTTGCTGCGTAAGTTCTCCTAACCTGCTGCGTATGTTCTTCTAACCTGCTGCGTAAGTTCTCCTAACCTGCTGCGTAAGTTCTCCTAACCTGCTGCGTAAGTTCCCCTAACCTGCTGCGTAAGTTCTCCTAACCTGCTGCGTAAGTTCTCCTAACCTGCTGCGTATGTTCTCCTAACCTGCTGCGTAAGTTCTCCTAACCTGCTGCGTAAGTTCTCCTAACCTGCTGCGTAAGTTCTCCTAACCTGCTGCGTTTATTCTCCTAACCTGCTGTGTAAGTTCCCCTAACCTGCTGTGTTTATTCTCCTAACCTGCTGCGTATGTTCTTCTAACCTGCTGCGTAAGTTCTCCTAACCTGCTGCGTAAGTTCTCCTAACCTGCTGCGTAAGTTCTCCTAACCTGCTGCGTAAATTCTCCTAACCTGCTGCGTAAATTCTCCTAACCTGCTGCGTTTATTCTCCTAACCTGCTGCGTTTATTCTCCTAACCTGCTGTGTAAGTTCCCCTAACCTGCTGCATTTATTCTCCTAACCTGCTGCGTTTATTCTCCTAAACTTGCTGCGTTTATTCTCCTAACCTGCTGCGTTTATTCTCCTAACCTGCTGCGTTTATTCTCCTAACCTGCTGTGTAAGTTCTCCTAACCTGCTGCGTTTATTCTCCTAACCTGCTGTGTAAGTTCTCCTAACCTGCTGCGTTTATTCTCCTAACCTGCTGTGTAAGTTCTCCTAACCTGCTGCGTTTATTCTCCTAACCTGCTGTGTAAGTTCTCCTAACTTGCTACGAAAAAGTCAGTTCGGTATTGAAGTGTCGTGAAAAGTGTTTCTCTTCTGCATACCGCTATCTTAGCTATCTCCATCAAGTCTTATGCCTTTGATAGCATTGTTGGTAATAGCTTATTCTTTACTTACCTCATGTTGCCAATGGTTGTTTTGGTGAACTTTGAAACATTGATATCATTATTTTGGAGAGATTGGTGAAACTGCTAGCTTAGTATGACTCTAATGGTTTAGGGCAGGGGTGTCAAACGTCCGGCCCGCGGGCCGGATCAGGCCCGCAAACGGGTTTAATCCGGCCCGCGAGATGATTTTGTAGACCACATCTATGGCCTGCCATACCACACTGAGGTAAGATGGTTAAGCCGAGGTTTCTTTGATTTACGAGAAGAAATTGAACAGTTCATGGAAGAAAAGGGCAAACCAGTGTTAGAATTCCATTCCGCAGAATGGATGCAGGACCTTGCATTTATGGTGGATGTTACAGAGCACCTGAATAACTTGAACAAACAGCTGCAAGGGCGCAACAAAGTTGTCACGCAGTATTATGACAGCATACGTTCTTTCAAGTTGAAGCTGTCATTGTAATAATAATAATAATAATAATATGCCATTTAGCAGACGCTTTTATCCAAAGCGACTTACAGTCATGCGTGCATACATTTTTTTTGTGTATGGGTGGTCCCGGGGATTGTGGGAGACGCAACTTGCCGGTGGTGATGCAGCTCACTTCCCCTGTCTGAAAAATGTGTGCGCGACCCAACATGTGGCAGACATGAAGCGGTTCAAAGATAAAATAACGGGACTGTTACGGGAGTTTGAGCAACGCTTTCAGATTTTTGGTGAACTGGAGAAAGACTTCAACGTTTTTTGCTCGCCAATCACCGTGAATCCCTCTGATCTGCCCGTCAGCATCCAACTTGAAATAATAGACTTGCAGTGTGACTCGGATTTGAAGGGCAAATTTGCTGCAGCTGGCTTGGACACATTTAATCAGAATCTCTTGCCAGGTTACCCCAACATGACAGCCCTCGCTGCAAAACTGTTGTGCATGTTTGGAACCACATATCTTTGTGAGCAAGTTTTCTCTGTAATGAGCATAAATAAAACAAAGCTGCGCTCAAGGCTCACGCACAAGCACTTGAATCACATCCTGAAGTTGGCTGCCACTCAGGATGTGACGCCTGATATTGATGCGCTGGTGAAAGCTAAAAGATGCCAGGTATCAGGAGTCAAATAAACTATGCAACCCCACTTAAAGTGCTACATGAGACACCCTGATATAGTTCTGTGATCTGTGATATACTTCTGTGAATCACTGAGGCATTGTGTGTTTGTGTGTTCTTTGTCCTCAGAACTTTCAAATAACTTGAGGTGTTTTATGATTAATAGTGATGTTGTGCTTTTGGACACACTGTCCTCAGGCTCCAGCTTTATGTTTATACGTTTTTATGTTGATGTGCTATTGTTTTTAATTGATTTTATTTTATTTGTATATTTAACCTATTCTTGACTCTGTGGTTCTTGCACTTGTTTGGGGAACAGGATTTCATTCTTTTTATCTACATTTCTGCCTGAGAAATGACCCCCTGATATAGTTCTGTGATCTGTGAAACAGTTCTGTTAATCACTGAGGCATTGTGTGTTTGTGTTCTTTTTCTTTAGAATTTTCAAATAAACTTGACGTGTTTTATGATTAATAGTGATGTTGTGCTTGTACTATTTTGGACACACTGTCCTCAGGCTCCAGCTTTATGTTGTATGTTGATCATATTAAAACAAAGAAAACAATCTGAAGTTGTTGTTTTTAAGTTATATATACCATGATTTTTCCGGTCCGGCCCACTTGGGAAAAGATTTTACTCCATGTGGCCCCTGAGCTAAAATGAGTTTGACACCCCTGGTTTAGGGCATGTAAAAGGACCCATGAGCACCAACATGTCAAATGAAATCTAAGAGTCTATATTTTTGAGAAATTAAGACATGAGAAATGAAGAAGAACGAAAAAGAAAAGAAGAAAAAAACTCTCTCTCTATCTCTCTATCTATCTCTCTCTCTCTCTCTCATCTACTATCTCTCTCTCTATCTCTCTCTCTCTATATCTTGTCTCCTCTATTCTCTCTATATAGCCTCTCTACTCTCTCTCTCTCTCTCTCTCTCTCTCTCTCTCTCTCTCTCTCTCTCCTCTCTCTCTCTCTCTCTCGTCCCGGCTCTTACTGACACCTACCCTCTTTCCATTTACTGTAACTGAGTACCGGATGTCCATGGTCGTTGAAAAGTAGTTGAAATTTCATATGTCCGCCCTGGCCGGACCAAATCAGAACCAATCATAGACGGTAGAGTAGAGAACAGAACAGTAAAGTCAAGAAAAGTAGAGTACTGTATATGTAGAGTAGTGTATAATGTACTGTATTGTACTGTACTCTATTGTACTGAACATATCTACTTTACTGTACTCTACTGTAATGACCAAACTTGTGAAACATAGACATCTATGATTGGTTCAGATTTGGTCTGGTCCGAACCAAACAAATGTGGTATGTTTGGGGGCGGAACTCAATTATAGCCAGTGTGTAGAACAATACCCAAATAAGCAAAAGAAGGATATTGGATATTTCTACCTTTGTGTACCTATTCAGGATAGGTCACCATGAAGAGAATGATATTCATATCCATGGACCCAGTGGTGTAAAGTACTTATGTAAAAATACCAGTAAGTAGTTTTTTTTGGTATCTGTACTTTACTATTTATGTTTTTGACAACTTTTACTTTTACTTCACTACATTCCTACACAAAATAATGTACTTTTTACTCCATACATTTTCCCTGACACCCAAAATACTCATTACATTTTGAATGCTTAGCAGGACAGAAAATGGTCCAATTCATGCACTTATCAAGAGAACATCCCTGGTCATCCCTACTGCCTGATCTGGCAGACTCACTAAACACAAATGCTTCATTTGTAAATTATGTCTGAGTGTTGGAGTGTGCCCCTGGCTATTCGTACATTTAAAAAACAAGAAAATCGTACCATCTGGTTTGCTTAATTATTTATTTTTGCTTAATTATTTAAACCAAATACTTTTAGACGTTTACTTAAGTAGTATTTTACTGGGTGACTTTTCCTTTTACTTGAGTCATTTTCTATTAAGGTATCTTTACTTTTACTCAAGTTTGACAATTGGGTACTTTTTCCACCAGTGTCCATGATGTAATTCCGTTACCATAATTCCGTTACCAGATGTAAATCTACTTCACCTACTGTAGTTCAATAACCCAAATAAATGTTTTCTAACTCAAGGTGTCATGGCACACCCGATTCTTTCTGCAGACATCTTTGAATCTTAATTCGGAGCAGATATTTAACAAGAGTTTTTGGAAAAAATGGTTGCATAAAAAACAGAGACCAAACTTTGCATCTGCAGTTCTTCCAGTTCCAATTTGTGACATTTGCTGTGTAAATGGTTCAAAATAGCCTTTGTGCATAGAGCTGTATGGTTTGTTAAACTTTGAAATCTGAGCGTAATTCCGTTACTGTGGAATTACACCTTTACATCTTAGCTACACAAACGACCTGGGACCTTTTTTGTTTTCTCATGTCAGACCAAGAAAACACATTGAGCTCTTTCGGTTGTATTAGTCAGAAGATGTATTCCGTCCGTGCCGTTACATACTGTTCTCCATTAGTAATGATACCTTGTCATTGCCATTCT